GAGGAAAATATTGTCAGGCCCGAGGAGAGCGCAGCGCTCATAGAGTCCTGGGGTTCCTTCACGACCTCGAATGACGATGATTCTTCGAGCAGTACGACGGAGCCTGCAAATATTTCACCCAATATGAGAAGTAAACCCATTATCACATCCTGGGTGGAAACCGGTAGGCTTCTTGGACGCGGTTCATTTGGATCAGTTTCCGAAGCACTTTCAGAGTACGTCATGTTTCTCTTAGCTTATTTTCCCCTGCAACTTTTGTTTTCTCTTGCATCATTGAAGATTTCCGAGAATTAACTCGCACGTTTAGTATGACTCTGGCTTTTCTGATCTGTGAATTCGAAAGAACAATTGTTTTTATAACCCAGAATTTCCTGGTGGATGAAATGATACCCTTTTGTTGATAGAAAGCAGATTCATCCTAAACCCCGCCTCGATTTTCGTTTAGTCGAAAAATTCATATTATTTTGTATCATTTGCAGGGATGGAATCTTTTTTGCTCTTAAAGAAGTTTCACTGCTCGATGAAGATAGTCAGGGAAGACAGAGCATCCTTCAACTTCAGCAGGTATTACACTTGTTCTTGATAAACTTTTTTTTCTTTTTTGGTTATGATTTGAAATTCTGATCAGTCTTTTCCTTATGACGCCTTGACAATCTCTTATTCTTAACCTGCTTTTCTCACTTCTTCATTTGATTTCTCTTCCAGGAGATATCTCTTCTAAGTGAATTTGAGCATGAGAACATAGTTCAGTACTACGGCACACATTCGGTATTGCCCTTCTCCATCCTTAAGAAGTGAAGTTCTTAGGCATTTTAGCTAATCTTTGGGTGGTTCGAGAAAAGATGTGCTTAATTATTTTAGTTAATTATTGCCCTTCCTTTCTCTTTTCATATTCTTTGGCCATAACATTAAGCTCAGGATCTTCTATGAGTTTTATATGCTTCAGAAACCCTCATGGAAGTCTATATAATTTATCTTCTCGTGCCTGAAGTTTAGTTTCTACAATTCTTTTCAAACTTGTCTAAAGTCGGTTGATTCTGTACGATGTTTTTGGTTGACTTAAAAACATACCGTTTACTGTATGGCAATATATGCTTCTCTATGGACCGAGTATGTGCATACAACATAACAGCATGTAAAGTCCAAATTCGAAAGTTACTGGCCTATCATGAACCAAACGTCAGCATACAAGTTTTACCTTGATGTCAACTTCATCATTTGATGCCTTTTTTTTTTTTTTTTTTCCTGCCAGAAGGCGGTTTGTTATTCTAACTTGACATGCCAATTGTCCAACCTTGTGCTATTTTAATTTCCCATCTTATTCGAAGTATGTTGGTAGGTGCATTGATGTGCCGAGTTTGGAGCACGAAATGAATCACATGTTCACGCATTATTTAATCAACTTTGCTGCTCTCATGAGCTTTAAGATCAGACCATGTCACGGATCCTTACATGGCTATCTAGTTTTCGTTCATCTATTTTAGCTAATGGTGCAATGAATGCACTGTAGTTTCCTAATGGTTGTACTCTTTTGGCTACTTGACTATTAAAATTCTCATATATTCAGTACTTAATACTTTATTTGATTCTTGTTTGCAGGATGGGTCAAAACTCTATATCTTCCTGGAGCTTGTATCTCAAGGCTCCCTTCTGAATTTATATCAGAGAACAAACCTTCTGGATTCCATTGTTTCTGCCTATACAAGGCAGATTCTGTCTGGTTTAAAGTATCTTCATGAGCGAAATGTGGTTCACAGGTATACAAATGAATCTATTATGTTAACCAATACTGGTCATTTATCTTTATAAGTTCGTGTACCGAGCGAAATGTTGGTTCAGTACACATATCATTAGATCTTTATAAGTTTGTAGCCTGAGACTTCTATGGGTCAGTTTAATACCGTTGCTGTGGATGGGAAAGAAGGGGAAAGAAGCTTCTAAGTTGTCAAGTCCATGCTACATTTTTTTTTTTGGTTTCGTAGTGAAAATAAAAAAAATCTCACTATTTCGTCAATCCTTCAACAATTTAAATTCCTTCTGGAATATGTTTAATTCCACAGAATTCTTATTATCCCTGTCTAGCTACTAGTTTTAAAAATATTTTTGGAAATTTAGCCTGTAAAACAGCATGACATAACCGTCCTTTATCGATTTCTTTGTCCAATAATGTTCTTATTAGTTTTTTTTTTTTTTTTTTTTTTTCAAATTCTGCTCGATCATTTTCTTTAGGAAATTATATCTAGCATTCCTTGTTTCTGTTAAAAGTATACATCTAAAAAAGGTCTGGTCAACAATTTCTAATGAGTTTGTTTTTCTTTTCCTTTTTCTCTCTTTGAATATATATATATATATATATATATATATATTTATTTATTATTATTATTTTTTTTTTATTGAAGGAAAGTATCTTATTTATTGCTCTAACTCTTACTTTTCTCCCCTCCCCCTCCCGACATATAATCATTTTCTTGTTTTGATTTTTTTTGAAAAGGGATATTAAATGTGCTAATATATTGGTGGATGTGAATGGATCTGTGAAGCTTGCAGATTTTGGTTTGGCGAAGGTTTCTTCCCAATCCATTTTATTATTTCTGTTTGTGGCCTTGTTTTTGTGAGTTTCTTCCCTTAAAATCATTGTTTGTCTACTTTTCAGGCAACAAAATTCAACGACGTTAAATCTTGCAAGGGAACTGCGTTCTGGATGGCACCTGAGGTTTGCCTTCTTCCTTGTCTATGTCAAGAATGTCTGTATTTGACTATGAATATCTAACCAAAAAATAAACCGAATGAGTAGCTTTTTGAGAGGGGTGGCTCTCCCACAATCAACCAACTTTGGTTGACTTAATATGACCTCCCCTCACAAACCTTCTCCCTCTATTTATAACCAAGACCCTTGCTAGTATCCACCTAATGTTTTCAATATATCTTCTATTAGTACTTTCACACATTTCTCACTGTCATTACTGTGATTTGTGCAGGTGGTTAATGGGAAGGGTCAAGGATACGGGCTTCCGGCCGATATTTGGAGCCTTGGGTGTACAGTATTGGAAATGTTAACTCGAAAGCTTCCGTACTCAGAAGTCGAAAGTGTACGTGCCACCTTTATCCTCTACAAACTTTGTTTTTGTTGTTTGTTGTTTGTTGGATTTCTAAGTTCACAGCTTGAACTGCAACTAAGTAATACAAGATTAATGGTTTGAAGGTGTTAGAAGATTGCCGCTAAGCTCTCTATTTGTACATCAGTGATTTTCAAACTATTTTTGTTTGTTATGATAGGAGACATCATAAATAACCATTACTTTTAAGGTTCTAAAACTGCCATCCTTTGAATTCAGCCTATGCAGGCACTATTTAGGATTGGAAAAGGCAAAGCGCCTGTAGTTCCTGAGTCTCTCCCAAAAGATGCACAGGATTTCATTTTGCAGTGCCTACAAGTTAATCCACACGACCGTCCTATCGCTGCTGATCTAATTAATCATCCGTTTGTGAAACGACCAGTTTCCAGTTTATCAGTGTCGGCATCTCCTTACAACAAGCCAGGCAGAAGAATTTAACTTATAAGGTAGAATTTCTGCTATTCATTTGACACTATGATATTTATTCTCTATTTCGTTTGGATTGATATATATATACATATACGTGCCACCACATTTTCTCAGATTCTCGAGTCGAAAATAGCCATATACGTCCAACTAACATGATTACATCCTTTAGTTGTTGAATGGGTTGCTGGCTGTGAAAGTTGGATGACATTTTTTCCTGTAATTACTGTAATTCAAGTGTATATCATATCTTGATCTATACGCCCGGAAGGAGGGTGTACTAGTTTGTCTGCCATTGCCATTGCCATTGACGCAAGAACAGTGAAATGGAAGTGCTTCTAGTTGTTGTATACTAGTAGTTCCTCGCATAAGAACAACAGAGGACAAGAAGATTGTAATTTTGATGATTCATCTTATGATGATTTATTATTTAAGTCAGTTTTTTTAATTTGCTTAGCTAATTAGCTGATTTAGGCATAAGGCTTGTACTCGCTGTACAAAGAAGGAACATTTACACTTGTAAAATAACTATATATATATATATATATATATATTTATGCAAGTTAGTTGATTATTTATTTTATTTTGTATGCTGCCCCCTTCCTCATCTCATAACTGTACTATTTTTCGTTATGATGTATTAGGGTTTGACCATCTCAAGCTTCTTTCTCAAGGTTAAAGGATCGATCTATCACATTTTTACTTACATGCATTAGATTATTGAAAAATAATATGGGGTGTTCTTCGTCCTAGTCGTGTTCGAGGGAAAAAGTTATCATGAGTTAAATGGTGACCACATTGGTTGGGGAGGAGAATAAACACCATTTATAAGGGTGTGGAAACCTTCCCTTAGTAAACGTGTTTTAAAGCCCGGAAGGGGAAGCCCAAAAGACAATATCTATTGGCGTGTCTTAAAGCCTGGAAGGGGAAGCCCAAAGGACAATATCTATTGGCGGTGGATTTGGATTGTTACAAATGGTATTAGAGCCAGACACCGGATGATGTGTCAATCAAGCCCCCAAGCCCAAAGAGGACAATATCTACTGGCGGTGGATTTGGGTCGTTACAAATGGTATCAGAGCCAAACACCGAATGATGTGTCAACCTTCTTGCTATTCAAAGGGGGTACACACGAGTCGGTGTGTGCCAGTAACGCCAAGCCCAAAGAGGACAATATCTACTGGCGGTGAATTTGGGGTGTTACAAATGGTATCAGAGTCAAACACCAAATGATGTGTCAGGCATCTTGAATAATGCGGTGAATTTGGGGTGTTACAAATGGGCCCACGCTCAATAAATAATTCTTCATCATAAAAAAAAATGAACGGGCTTGAATAATGCGGCCAGGCCCAATAAATAATTCTTCAGCCCAAAGTTTCAGTTTCGGCCGGTTGCGTAACAAGAGTTCATAGTGTCGTGACTATGTACTGGAATTAGCTCAAATTTCAATTTAAAAGAAAAAATAGGGGCAATAACTTGACAGTACCACGCAACTCACAGCACAACCTTTCTGAAGAGCGAGAGCGCTTGGACTCCACCCTCCGCTCTCCTTCTCCCCTTCTCCCCTTCTCCCCTTCTTCTTCTTCACAATTTGCTTATTAAATTTCAATTTCAATTTCAGTCCTCTCCTTCGTCCACGACGCCTTCATTTCCCGGAATCACTCACCCATCCAGGTACGCTTAGTTCCGATTCTTCGCCCCCTCTTTTTCCCGATCTCATTTTGTCTAATTCTGTCTGTCATTTGTTTTTTAATTGCTTGTTCTCATTGTCTGGGATGCCAGTTACGTGTTGGGTTCTAACATTATTGATCGCACGTTGTTTCTTGTTTTAAATTCCACGATTCCCCTTTTTTTCGGCTTGTTATTCATTGGTTTATTTCTCCCCGCGATTCTGTATATGTTTGCTACTCATCAGTTCTCTAGACGTCTAATCGAAATTGTTCGATTGGGAATTATAATCCCATATCTGCCTTCAATTTGAAATGAAGACTGGGTTTATTTTTATTTTACTCCCAAACGATTGATGTCAGGCATCTTGTTCATACTGATTGCTTGCTGCTTACGTAGATTTAAACAAGTTTTTACCTACTAACAATAATTCCGTGTGTTGACTTGACTGACACCTTGGTTTCTAGGAAGTTCTGGTCATTTTTTTTAATGTCGGATTAGCCTTTCAGGTTATGCGTAGTATTTGAAATTTCTGGCCTGGAAATTTACGGTTGCCCTCACCACCCAAGTGGGTGAGATACGTACTTTTATTCTGATTCAGTGTTCTCACTTTAATTGTTAAAAGACCGGAAGCCTACTTGAGTTGTCTCACTATATCCAATAGCTTTTTCTTTTACGGACTTTGTAGAAGTACTGTAACATAATCTATTACAGGCTGTTGAGCACGGCAAAAACTAGTCAACATCAGAATCTTATATTATCTTCACATTAGAAGCTGTTTTAAAATTTACACGGTAGTCTTTAATGATGATCCAATCTTGTTTGATGAATAATTTTTCGGTCATCTATAGTGATTAAGTTAATGAACATAACAATGAAAGATTAAATTATAAGTTTAGTGCATGAACTTTCAAGTTTATGTAAATTGGGTTTTGAGCTTTTAGAAATGCCTAATAGGTTCTTGGACTTTAAAAAGTTTCTATTACACCAGTAAACTTGTAATTTGTGTCTAAAAAGTCCCTAAATTTTCAATTTTAGTTTAATAGGTTATTGACCTATTAAACATTTAAAATTCACATATCTATTGGACACAAAGTTAAAAGTTAAACATCTTATGAGACACAAAATTTAATTTATGTCTAATACATTCATTAATTTTAAAAAATGTTGAATATGCTTGGAATCTATAAGATACAAATTTGTAAGTTTAGGGACTTAATATTTTGCAACTTTAGGGTCCTATAAGACATGAGGTTGAAGAATCTATAAGATACAACCACGAAAGTTGTAAATGGTATTATCTAAACAATTTTAAAGAGCCTATCTAAGTTCTTTTGCACATTATTGTTGAGTGAAGTGAAGCAAAGCTCTCTTTAAGGCCCATAGGCTAGAGTTATTTTTATTTATTTATTTTTTAAGAGACCACTCTTTCATTAAGACGAATGAAAGAATATACAAGGGCATACAAAAAAAAAAAAAAAAAGCCAAGCCCGTAAAAATTGAAGGCTTAGTAACCGTCACCCATAGTGATGCGTTAAATCTAGTTAACCTTCAAACATCCTCACTCGATCTCTCAACTTCTTTAGAGATTCTATTATTCATCACCTTCCAAAGGCCCCACAGAATAGCAAAAAATCTGTGTTGCCACAAAGATGTATCCTTCTCCTTAAAAGAGGGTGGGTTTGAGAGCATCTCCTCCGTAAGCGATGTTTGGTCCCTTGTTAGAAATCATATTTCTCTTTGGACTTTTGTTTCAATGATTTTTATAATTATTCTATAGGCATTATCTTGCATGATTGGAGCCCTTTTCTTTAATTGGGTTCCCTTTTGTGGGCTTGATTTTTTTGTATGCACTTGTATTCTTTTTTTTTTTTTTTTTCAATGAAAGTTGATGCTTTATTATATAAAAAAGAAAACGTATACCATGTCTGGCTATTTTTTCCGTGTATGGTATAATATACTCTAGTGTTCTTCAAGTATATTGGTGATCTGATAATAAAATATCCTTTGTTATTCAGAAAGTATGTAGGATTTTGTCTTGATTTATATATTTAAATACACGTATAATATATATACTCTGTCCCTTGATTAATGGTGAAAAGATGATACAACATTTCTTTACGTTCTGAATATTTTGTCCTCCCTCAAATATCTAAGGAAGCCACTCACATCTAATGCATTTCTTGTAGTACCCTTCAACTCTATTTAAAGAAGATTGATACCTTGATGCCTTTCTTAGGGTATTGAGTAACCTTATTTAAATGCATTAGAACTTATTTTTCATCCGTATATGGTGAATCGGAGATATATAACTTGAATAAATAATCAAATTAGTATCAATAAAAGTTTAGTTAAATAAATAAATTAACTAGGCTTTGAGATTACTAATAATTTAACGTGATATAATGTGGTATTGTTAACTTGGCAATAAATATTAAGTTCAAACTCTGTCGTCATCAATTTCTCCATTCAAATTATTAATTTGTTGGTATCCAGGCTTTTGATCTTTGCCTGCATATGGGGGGTTTCGAGGAGTTAGAGTTAGTGTGAACGAGTGGTTGACCTTTCTTTGTCAGTGGATAGACGAAGACCTGGATCATATGTTTTGGAGTTGCGACTTTCCATGGTTTGTTTGGAGTTATTTTTTCCTTTGAGGTGTTTGGCTTTTAGTTAGCCCGACATAGAGTTTACAGTGAGATGATTGAGGAGTTCTTTCTCCATTTGCTGTTGTGGGAGGAGAGATTCTAGTGATAAGTCCGGGTATGTGCTTTGTTGTGGGATCTTTGGGGGAAGAGCAACAATAGAATCTTTAGAGGAGTGGAGAAGGATCCTAGGTATTTAATCCCTTGTCAGGTTCCATGTTCTCTTTGAGCGATGGTGACGAGCTTGATTTTTTTGGATGCCGTGCATTCTTTTAGTTATTCTTGATGGAAGTTTGGATTATCGTCATATTTTTTTACTTTTATTGAGAACGTGACTGGCCATTGTGTTCAAATATTCTAATGTGCTATAGATAGTTAAAACGAAAAGTAGTCGTGGCCTACAAAGTTCCAAAATCTCAAATATGTTATATTTGATAAAGTTTATCCAGTAGTTTTGAAGGACATTGTAGCTTGACAGGCGAAGTTGAGACCTAAAAGACTGAATGTGTCAATTCACAGACAGGCAATCTGTGAATTCAATGTCTCCTTAAGTTGAGGGGGTTGGTCGTTCAGATAGAAACGGACTAAAAATTGGACAAATTTTCTTTTAAAATTTTAAACGTTGTAATTGACCTAGCCAGTTAATAGCTTGAGGTGCTTTTCACTTTAGACTATAAAAAGCGTAGTTTTTAGTTGGTTTAGTTCCATAACTTGCTTTGGAAAATTTCTTTTGGTTGTCAAGGGATGGCACATCTATTATTTGGGGGATATTGCGTCTGTAAGGTTTGATGTTATCTTTTGTTATTTCCGTCAACCTCTTTCATCACGTACTTTTCTGTTTATTTTATTTTTCCTTCCTGGTGTTTTTATTATGCCATTGCCTGTTTATGGAAAGAGTCGATATTATTGTATAAGCATCTGTTTTATTTTTTATTTTTCTTCCTGGTGCTATTATTTAGTTGTGATGCAATTTTAAGTCGAAAAGCTGAATTTGCTAGTCAGAGGCTTATCAGGGCTTAGGCATGAAACTTAAATCTTATGGTATTGATTTTCCCCTCTTGATGTTAGATTGTAACAAAATTTAGGTGCAGTTATGAGTTTGGGAAAATCTTGAGAGGTCCACTGTTAAGAGTGATCTGATGCTCCCACTCCCCCCTAAATTATTTCAGGTTTAATTTGTGAATGGCCATGAAAAAGATGCAAAGCAACTCTGATTCTAGATGTTCCAGGGAAAACTCATGTATGTTGCCATCTAGTCCATTGAAAGTTACTAAAAATGCTTACCTCAAGAAGAAAAACTGCAAAGGTTCAGAGAAGAAAGAGTGGGAAGATGCTACCTGCTCAGTCTGTATGGAGTTCCCTCACAATGCTGTGCTTCTTCTTTGTTCCTCATATAATAAGGGTTGCCGGCCTTATATGTGTGCAACTGGTCGTCGATATTCCAATTGTCTCGATCAATACAAGAAAGCCTACACAAAAGTGTCATCAGCTGAAACTTCAGAACAACTGAATATGCCGGTGGAAAATGTAAGCCTCAATTTGGACGCAGGGCAGCCAAGTGAAAAGGTTGAAGTGCCAGAGCTGTTATGTCCCCTTTGTAGGGGACAGGTTAAAGGATGGACAGTGGTCGAACCAGCACGGAAATATCTTAATTCTAGGAAGAGAAGTTGCATGCAGGACAATTGCTCATTTGTTGGACGTTACAAGGAGCTGAAGAAGCACGTTAAAGCAAAGCATCCATTAGCACGACCACGTGAAGTGGACCCTTTGCTTGAAGAGAAGTGGAAGAGATTTGAGCACGAGAGGGAGCGAAGTGATGTGATCAGCACAATTATATCATCAATTCCTGGAGCTGTTGTTCTAGGGGATTATGTGTTGGAACCTAGCCAAAGTGGTTTTTATAGTGAGCACGATTCTGATATGGACGAGAATTTGGACGATGATACTTTCTTTTCGATGGATGCATTTGGTTTTGGACGGGATGGTCGTCTGTTTTCTCGTAATAGATATCATAGGGACTACAACAGCAGCAGGGGAGATGAGATTGATTTTGGGATGCATCGTGCTGCAGGTCTCGGTTCTACTACAACTGGTGGACCAGGACGTGGTTTCCGCAGAATTATATTCGGGAGGTCGAGGCGGCCAAGACAAAGAGGAGGACTTAACAGAATTCCATAACTTATGATATAGAAAAGAAATGGAAGGAGTGGGAGTTAGGGGGCGTAAGGTTTTATTGAGATAGGGCCTATGTATATTCACTTCTGTTGTAATGGAGGTCTTGCTTGGCTAGAAGTCGTCATATACCCACTCTGTTCATGGTGCACAACTCATTTGTAGATTTTTTTTTTTTTTTCTTCTTAATGGTGTCAAGAATTTATTTGGTTTGAACAGCCAGCCTTGATGTTTTTCTCCGCTGGCATTGGGGGGTGGGTGGGAATAGGATAGGTATTGGCAAGGGGAGATTAGGTTGATTTGTTATCTCAATTATCATTTGGGGATGGCATTTGATTGACTGACCAAACAGATCACAGCAATGAAAAATGTTTTGCTTTTCTCCCATCTCTTATGTTGTTTCTTTGGGGGATCTATCTGTCTTTATTGTTCAGGACTTAGGTGGTCTGCTTTTGACTTGGACTAACCCACTGTGGCATGTGGCAAGTGTTGCTCATGGAAGGTGTCAAACCTAATTATGGAGAGAGTAGGTTGTGAGCCTCATATTGCGACAAGAGAATCAACGACCTTCAAGTGGCACCATCCGGCCACGCGAGGGCCTAGACGAATGCCATGGTGCGATCGAGGAGAACGGTGTGTCATCTAACACACCACACGAAGTGGGTATTGAAAACAAGTTGAGACATAAACAAGATAGAGACATCAAATAGACATGAAGGGTAAAGATAGGCTTATTTAAGGGCTGGGTAGGGCCCCAGGTCTTAACCTCGAAAGTCGGGGTTCCGGAAGGAATTTGGACATGCGGTTCGGGAGTTAAATCTGTCTATATGAAATATGAATGCTCGCTAAGTTTGGAGTCAATCGGACACCGGACGGACAATGCATGACATATGACAGATCACCAAAATCAATGTCTATGCTTGGAAGATTGAAAATGGTTGTGTTAGCTCTCCACCACCCATGTCGCTTAAGTGAGCTACCCTGTGGCACATACGTGTCTCACAGTGTGGGCGAGCGTTATGAGATGAGTGTCTCGGGTGACTTCCTTTGAAATAGGTTTTTGAAGGACAGTACTGGACGACACGGGTGTGCCGGTATTGCGCCCAGCCTGCGTGTTGGAGGTTGCTACATACACTTGCTATCCGGTACGGTATCCGTAAATGACTCGGCATGGGCATGGGAGGGCCAATGCGTTGATAGAAGCCGGATGGATAAATGTTCGGGAAGTCCCAGAGAGACGAACGACACGTGGGCCCATTCTCGATGGCATGACCGAGCGAGTTATGATGGCCGACAACATCCCGAGACTCAGGATGGTGTCAAGACATATGGACCATGTCAATGGGGGTCGAGATGACAAGATGTGATGCGACGTTGCATTGAGAGACCTTGGCCCGAGCAAAGGCAAGGTCGAGCCAAATAACTTGGCCTAATGTAGAGGCAAGTCGGATGTATCGCAGATGATTGAACATGCACGCAGACAGCGTGTGTGGTTGAACAAGCTTGGATTCCGCACAAGCGATGTTCGATTGGCAAAGACAAACCTTGCTTAAGGTCAGACGGAGCCATAAAACCAGGGCAAAAAATATATATGGAGCTTAATTCCCTTTAAGGCTGGTCATGAGCGTGTCAAAATCACGACACCGCACAGTAAAAAATGTAGGACCGTGACACATGTGACCTTTCCTAATCCCCTAACCTTAAAACTTGAGCAGGGATTGTGATTTTTGGACGGGTCTCACACCCTATGCACATTGTGAAAAACGTTTACAGGAAATCTGGACCTTTTGGGCTTTAACATGTTCGACTGGCTGTTGGAATTCTGGGCCGACCCAAGTTATTAGACGGACCCAGAACGAACAATACTTGGTCCATTGCAAAATAATGCAATATCAATGACAATATTGCACTTTATGGGCTCATGGGCTCAAGATATAATACTTTATGTTACATAAGGCAGGATTAATTTGAGTTATTTGAATCATTTATTTAAATTTTTGTTTTTAATAAAAGCAAAACATATATTTACCTATTTTCAAACATTTAATTAAAATTTTCTAACTCAATTTCAATATATTCTTTGTTTGTGCACGTGAGGGTAAAGGTCGATCTTGTTATTGAAGCCAAGGGTATGGGTCGATCTTGTTATTGAAGCCAAGGGTATGGGTCGTTCTTGTTATTGAAGCCTCGTCCAAATTCTTCCCACGAATTAACAATAAATTCATAATAGATCGGTTCAACTCAACCCAATCTAATTATAGAAGAACCCATAAATCAATTTAATCTAGACATAATACAACTATAACCTACGCCGGTTCTAGTTGGGTTGGATAGATCGAATCTTTTGAACACCTCTTATTTAACTTTTCAAATAATATCTATGGTTTGGGCATAGATTTGGGCTCCTCACAAATCCGCTTACATCATTGTTAGATTCTTGAAATTTCCATTTGCAATCTCGAGACCCTAACAGGAAAATATATATATATATATATATATAATAAAATATAGGATTGATGAAAAGGTAAGAACAGAAAAGGGAGTATTTTAAGAAAGAACACTGAATTTGAAAGCTCATTGTTTCCTCTAACAGTGCTTTACCAAAAAGTTACGATCACTCTGACGCTTTCCTCAGTGTTCATCATTACAAACGAAAAAGGAACTTAAAAGAAAAAAAAATATTTATTGGTTTTATTCATACCTTTTTCAGATTCGTATCCATGGTTTTAATACTCTTTTCGTACTCAAATCATTGTCGGATTGGACTTTGAGAGCTTCATCCTTTACGTTCTTCAATTCTCTTCTCTTCTCTTCAAACCACGATTCTGCCAATTTAGTATTAAATTACAACATTTAATCTTAACATCTGTTCTTCTTTTGATACTTAATTGCGTTTACTTCACGTTAATTCATGTTTAATCTTCTCAAAACAACTTCGTTTGTTTAAGCATACTATCACATGGGTCATGCCAGCAAATATGTTTACTTGGATCCAATACAAGTAGGAATCGGAATAGATTCGATGCTCGTTCATCTTTCTCCACTCTAACTCGTTTAAAATATAATTATCACTAATCTTAAAATCTGTTTAAGACACGAACAAGTAGGTGGGTGTAATCTAAAGTTTCTCAATCCACATATCCTCTTGGAAAGCATCAATTAGAGATGGAAACAAATGCAATAAATACGATGATTATTCCCAAAGAAATGAACTAAAATCCATGGTCAAATTTGTGGTAAGCATTTGTAGACAAGATGTTTGAGAAAGACATTATGAATACACATTATTATTATTATTATTATTAGGTTAAACAAACTATTAGCTCCCGCAGCTTTTAATGTTAGGAATCTACTCAAACAAAGTAGTACACCAGCTCATAACTTGTTTGTTCGATATTGACATGACTAAGTTAAGAGCATGACACTGATACCATGTTAGGAATTATAACTCTCTACAGTGGTATCATATTGTCCACGTCCTTCCTCTTAATAATCTTACACGTCTAGTCCCCTAAATCTATGGATCGCACTACTCAAACTTTGGCAGCCTTATTTTCTGACCATTGAGAGAGAAGGATGAAGATGACTTTAGAGGTCACCCAAGAGCCAAGTTCAAAAAATGGTAATATAACCCTTCAAGGTCTCCAATTAGCCACTTCCCCTTTGGGACCCAAGTGGTGTGTGTGGTCTAGTGGCTTTGTATCTGGTGGTAGTTCACAGCCAAGGCTTCCCTGGCTTGCCTGTTGGGGTTCCCATCCGCCGCTTCTCAACCCTAACTCTAATCTTTTGCCTCTTTTGACTCTTCCAATTCAATTTCTTTCCCTCACCCTTCTTCCTTGTCCTTTCTTCTTTGCTGCTTTTATTCAAAACCATTATCTTATAATCTCCCACTAATTTAATCCTAACTTTTGTGGATCTTTATGCTATACTATATCTTCCCGTTCAAAATTGTCAGACAATGAGTTACACATCAATTAATTAAGAGGGCAATCATTGGTTTACAAGCAAAGAAAAGCAAGAAAGCTTAGATTCAAAGTTGACAATATCATGTCATTCTAGAGAGTCGTAATTCTTAACATGGTATCATACCCTCACTCCACTTTTTTGAATTAAAAGTTTGCATCTTTAAACATATCTAGTTTTTGGGTCCTCCTTTAACACCTTTTTAGGCCGACCCATTTGAAGATCAACCATTAGATTTGCTCAACAACTTGGTAATTAAAATACCCATTTGTTGGTTTGAATGGGATGTAGTAAAGAAAATAGATTAGGAATGTGTTTAGAGGGTAAAAATAATGGCATGGGGAAGAGATATAAGGTTTTGTAATGAGTATCAAATGGATGGATACAGGTTTAGATTCTGTGGTGGAAATGGGTTAGTCACAGTTTGAAGGATTTTGTTTGATAAGTCTATTGCTACCCATCAATCACTGTCACTTACTTTTCTTGTTTGTCATGCTTGCTGCGTGGTTTCAATCTTTGGTTCAACCCAGAAAACTATAAACACACCACAGGATAATCCTTTCTATCTCCTTTCTCTTTCTTTCATATTCACCAACAATCTTAGATTTTTTATAAACAAATTTCGATCAAAAATCCTTTTCACACGATGAACTTTAACCCCGGCTTTTCAAGTATTTAAAAGATCGAATTTATCGTCTATGAGTTTCAACGATAATGGAAAACGTTTCAAGTAAATGAAAGGATGAGCGGCTTGCTTACATGAGTTTACTTCAATGGAACAAACAAATCTAAAATAATTGTCTTTTCGAGAATTGCTTACGAATTATATTTTATAACGTATTTTGAATCGAGCAAGAGGTCATGATTTGAATTTCTATAATCTCTACTATACTTTTATCATAACTCATACATTAGAGCATATGTGGAGGACAGTATTCTAACCTACGATCTTTTTTACGTGCCCTCGTCTAGTGTCATTCCTGGACCTAGTAGCAGATAGGTTCTGCAGCTGCTCTCATGCACACAGTCATTTGATAATTTCTTGAACAACTTTAAGCGTTATATATATTTATTAGTCTAAGTATATATATTTTTATGTCAGTTGACTTACATTTACGTTAGCTTAAATATTTATTAGTCGGAGTAAGAAATTCAAATATAGTTCGGTTTATTTATTTATTTAATTTTCGAAATTTATTTAATTTGACTTTTAAGAGGTGGCATTAATTTCACTAATTAATTAATAAAAGTAAGAGTTTTTTTTTTTCAAAACACTTATTATTCTCTCTTACTTTATTTTCCTTTTTCTTATTATTGGTCAATAATATATTTTAAAAAATATATATATTTCAAATAATAACTCTCATATTTAAAATTTGTATTTGGATGAATTTATTTCTCCATAACCTTTTTAGATGAATAAAAATGAAA